GAAGAAGAAGGAGAAGAAGAAAGAAAAGAGAAGAAGAAGAAGGAGAAGGAGGAGAAGAAGAAGCAGGAAGGAGGAAGCAAGAAGCAATGAGCAAGAAGAAGGAGAAGCAGAAGGAGAAAAGGGAGAAGAGGAAGAAGAAGGAGAAGATGATGAAGAAGAAGAAGTAGGAGAAGAAGATAAAGAAGAAGAAGAAGAAGAAGGAGCAAGAAGCAAGAAGAAGAAGAAGAAGAAGAAGCAAGAAGCAAGAAGATGAAGAAGCAAGAAGCAAGAAGATGAAGAAGCAAGAAGCAAGAAGCAAGAAGCAAGAAGCAAGAAGAAGAAATGAAGAAGTAGAAGAAGAAGAAGGAGAAGCAAGATGCAAGAAGAAGAAGAAGAAGAAGATGATGATGATGATGAAGAAGCAAGAAGCAAAAATCTAGAAGCAAGAAACAAGAAGGAGAAGAAGATGACGACGAAGCAAGAAGAAGAAGGAGAAGAAGAACAATAGATGAAGAAGAAAAAAGAAGCTAGAAGCGAGAAACAAGAAGGAGAAGAAGTAGAAGAAGAAGAAGACGAAGCAAGAAGAAGAAGAATAAGATGAAGAAGAAGAAAGAAGAATGAAGTAGAAGAAGAAAGTAGAAGAAGAAGAAGAAGAAGAAGAAGAAGAAGAAGAAGAAGAAGAAGATATAAGAGGAAAGAAGATGAAGCAAGAAGAACGAAAAAACAAGAAGCAAGAAACATGGAGAAGAAGAAGAAGCAAGAAGTAAGAAGCATGAAGGAGCAGACGAAGAAGAAGAAGAAGCAAGAAGCATTAAGGAGAAGAAGAAGAAGCAAGAAGCATGAAGGAGAAGAAGAAGAAGCAAGAAGCAAGAAGCAAGAAGCAAGAAACAAGAAGGAGAAGAAGAAGATGAAGAAGAAGGTGAAGCAAGAAGAAGAAGAAGAAGAATAAGATGAAAAAGAAGAAAGAAGAATAAGATGAAAAAGAAGATAGAAGAATGAAGGAGAAGAAGAAAGAAGATGAAGAAGAAGACATCTTCCTTCCCTTTATTGTGCAGTAATGCCAATAGAGAATTCAATTTAGCAGATTCAATCCCCCCACCTCTATTGTGTAGTAATACCACTAGAGAAGTTGGTTTATCAAATTTAGTCACCCCACCATTTTCCTTGCATCCATTGTGCACTAGGGGAGCCTCTAATAGAGACAAACAACGATGCAGGAAAAAAAAAGCAAGAAGAAAGAAAGCAGAAGAAGAAGAAATAAGAAGCAAGAAGAAAGAAAGAAGAAGAAGAAGAAAGAATCAAGAAGATAAAAGAAGCAAGAAGAAAGAAGAAGAAGAAGAAATCTTCTTTCCCTTCATTGTGCAGTAATGCTAATGAAGAGCTCGATTTAGCAAATTCAGTCCATTACCTCCATTGTGTTAGTTAGTTGAAAGAGGTAAGTTATAGTCAATACGTTTCAATAATTAGCCAATAATGTAGTTTATTGTGCATTACCATTACTAACAATGTCGACTTTTCATGTCTTCTAGCTTCCTATGTATATGGATGCACAAGGAGAATCAGTGTTTCAAAAAGCGCTAAGCGGGTTCTAGGCGGCCTGGGGGGTCCAAGCCGCCCAGTGCCTAAGCGGGCGCCCAGAACCTGAGCAGCCCAGTTGAATCCAAATAAAGATTCTGCAGTGCAGTTATGTTAGTATCAGTTATATGTATTGCAGTACATAATTCAAATTATACTACATATTAGCATTAGCACACACTCGACATAACCATAATCCATAAGTCGGTTCATACTCCATATCCATAATCCAATTAAAACGTAAAATTTACAACCAACCAAATTATCAAACCAAGTTATCAAATAGTATCACACCAGTACTACAGTACACCACCGAATAATGAAACTATGAAAGTAATACTTGAAGACTCAAAAGAATCTTCAATAGTTCAATACACAATACTTCAATCAAAGTTCAAACTTCAAAGTTTAATAATTATCCAACAATCAACATTCATCATCAAAAAATCTTGGGTCAGTTGCATTGGCATCATATTCATCGGAGTCGACGGAGTTGTCACCCTCCTTGACATATTGGTCATCCCCGTCCTCCTCCGTCTCTTCAGAATCAGCCTCTTCTTCCTTCATCCTTGTTCTCTGTGCAAAAGATCTAGTGGCCCTAGGAGGGTCAACTGATGTCCCTGATGCATCCATGATCATGTCCCATGTCAATCCTTCATGCCCCTCGACCTCATCATCATCAACTAATCACTCCATAGCATGGTCCACATTTTTTGATTTGATGGGCTCTCTTTTATCTCTCTTAGCAAACATGTCCATCAAGAATTGATTGTACTTGACATAGACTAGGGCATTGAGCCTCTTTGATTCAAGCATGTTCCTTTTCTTTGTATGAATCTAATAAAATCAAATGAAACTAATTATACAAATTACCCTTACAGCCTTACCCTTTCAAAAACACTCAAATTGCGCTCACAACCAAATGAAGACGTGGTTAGGTTCAAGATCTGAATGGCCAACTTTTGTAAATTTGGAGAACTAAACCCATGTTGGCTCCACCACTGGGCTGTAAAGATATAGAATAAAATCGTAAATAAATAATAGAATTACTTGTTACTTGAATTGATGAACTTAAGAATATTATTAATACAATAAAACCTGGATCAATTTTCGCCATTTGCCTCATCGCCATTGGATTTCCAAAAGACTTTAATCAGCACTGTAATTTATCAGCTCATCAGCGCATATGATATCCTTCATAGCAGGATCAGGGACTAACACCTCTACACACTCATTAAATCCATTCATAACTATGTCATTTGTTTGTATATCCTTGTCAATATAAAAAAAGCTGGGTTCAAATAATAACCAGCTGCATGCAATGGCCGATGTCGCTGCCTATCCCACTTCTCAGCAATAATCTCAAAAACAGGCTTGTAATGGGTTTCATCATTGAATTTTTGGGCTAAATCTCTTTTGCATGCATCATATATGTAGCCCATAGATGGCTTGTCACTATCAACCATGCCAAGGACTTTGACAAGAAGAAAATATACCTTAAGAGCGTCCTTCACCCCTCTCCAAAAGTCATTAAAAAGTATAATATCTCTCACCTTCTTCTCAACCTGATCTTTAGACCACTTACATGCTCTCCACTCATTTGAGATAAACATTTGCCTCAACTGCACTATCCTCGAATGTATACTATCTAGGCATAAGTACCAGGCCACACAATCTCTTTCTTCTTTGTAAAGGTACACATCATGCTGAGGGTGAGATGGTGGTTATAAATGAAATTTGTAACTCACTTGGCCTTCTTCACTGCACCTGATATCTCGGCTAAACCGCCAAAAGCCTCAAGCATGAGGTCTATACAATGTGCTGCACATGGTGTCCAAAAGATTCTAGGATAAGCTATGTGCAACAAGTTAGATGCAACATCATTAGGAGCAGCATTG